AAGACGGAAACACCGGACTCACGCATCATTGAGTGTTGAACAACTATGAGGATGTCTTCCAAGCTCTCTTCGGAGTCGTACCAGATCGGCCCATACGCCACGGAACGACTCTCGAGGACGGCGCCGTACCTTCGCACGGATGTATCTACCGCATGAGCGAAGAGGAACTTCAAGTGCTTCGGGCACAACTACACGACCTCTTGGCCAAGGGCTGGATTCGCCCTAGTTCTTTGCCATATGGTGCTCCGGTTCTCTTCGTCCGGAAGAAGAACCAGAACCTTCGTTTGTGTATCGACTATTGGAAACTTAACGCGCAAATGATCAAGAAAGTCGGCCCTCTCCCTCGGATCGATGATCTTCTCGAGCGACTAGGTGGCGCCAAGTTCTTCTCAAAGCTTGACCTCAAGTCCGGATTCCACCAGATCGAGATCCAGCCAAGAGATCTGTACAAAACGGCATTCAAGACGCGGCATGGGCACTTTGGGTGGAGCGTCATGCCTTCCGGTCTCACCAATGCCCCGACTACTTTGCAAGCGGTTATGACGACGGAATTCCGCGACTTGCTCGATTGCACCGTACTCGTTTACCTTGATGATATCTTGGTTTATAGTCGGACGCTGGACGGGCACCTCGAGCACCTTCGCGCCGTACTAGAGCGGCTCCATATCGTCAAGTACAAGGCGAACCGCGACAAGTGTGAGTTTGCCCAGCAAGAGTTGGAATACTTAGGCCATTACATTACGCCGCAAGGCATTCCTTCGCTCGCAGACAAGGTACAAGCTATTCAAGATTGGTCGGACCTCAAGTGTACTACTGACGTCCGCTCCTTTCTCGGCCTGGCATCATACTACAAGCGCTTTGTCAAAGGATTTCAACGCATCGCTGCACCATTGTCGCGACTTTAGTCCCCCTTGGTGCCCTTCGAGTTCAGCGACGAAGCCCAGCATGCGTTTCACACGTTGAAGACGACTTTGCTTCAAGCTCTCGTCTTAAGCATCTATGACCCGACCTTGCCCACCAAAGTGACTACGGACGCTTTCGGCTATGACATTGGCGCTGTTTTGGAACAGCATGACGACACAGTTTGGCATTCGGTTGAATACTTCAGCCAAAAGGTGCCGCCCATCAACACTCTTGATGATGCGAGGAAGGAGCTGCTAGCTTTTGTCACCGTACTAAAGCGTCGGCGTAACTTTCTCCTCGGGCGTCGGTGATTCACGTGGGAGACGGACAGCAATCCATTGACGTATTGCAAGACGCAATACGCGATGATTAGCACGATCGATCGGTGGATGTACTTAATTGACCAGTTCGACTTCACCTCCAAGCACATTCTGGGCTCCTCGAACAAGGCAGCGGATGCTCTCTCGCGAAGACCTGTTCTTTGCGCCGTGGTGCACTCCACATTCGGCCTCGACAAGAACCTCCAACAACATTTCATAAGCGGCGACAAGTTGGATCCGGGATTCTCCACACTCTATGCGGACTTATCATCGGATCACCCGTCGGCAAGTAACTATCGCATTGTCGACGGCTACTTGCTTCTTCATACATGAGGCAAGGACTTGTTGTGTGTTCCCGAAGACCGCATCTTGTGCACTCGCCTCCTTGGCGAATTCCACGATTCACGGCTGGCGGGACACCTTGAAGTCGCACGCACACTAGCACGAGTCCGCCAGCGATTTCGCTGGACAGACATCATCAGCGACGTGAACCGGTACATTCAGTCATGTGCAGTTTGCCATCGGAACAAAGGGTGCCATCAGCTGTCGTACGGCGAACTGAAACCATTGCCGATTCCTTGGAAACCAGGTCTCTCCACTACTATGGATGTGACCGGTCTTTTCCCTCGTGATCGCCTTGGCCATGATGGTATTCTCACGGTCGTTGACCGTTTGAGCAAGTACGCTCGATTTCTTCCATGCAAGTATCATGCGACGGCTCCCGAGCTCGCACGACTCTTGCATACCGGCTGGTTTTGCAGTCACGGCGTTTCGGAAGACATCGTCAGCGACCGCGACACTCGTTTCATTCGGCCTTTTGGACGGCACTCATGGTGGAATCCGACACCAGTATGAAACCGAGGTCCGCACGACATCCTCAAATGGATGGGCAAACAGAACGTGCACACCAGACTGCGCAAATGATGCTCCGCACACTCATTCGCTCGGATCAGAAGGATTGGGTTGACCGCCTTCCCGACATCGAGTTCGCCTACAACATTTCGGTGCACCCGGCAATTGGCATGACTCCATTCGAGTTGCACCATGGTGGACGGAAAGGATGTATCTTCGCAGACATTTAGCTTCCATGAGCTGCCGATATCGACGCCGCTTGCTTCCCCGCTTTTAGACGGAAGTACAGGGAACTGCTGGCCAAAGCCCGCGCAAACATGCAAAAGGCTCAGGCGCGTATGCAGCAGCAAACGAACCGACGTCGCATCCCATGTCCAATACGCGTGGACGATCTAGTTTGGGTCACCTCCGAGGAGTTCGCACTCGAGCAGCACGTCTCGTGCAAGCTCCTCCCTAATTGGTTTGGACCGTGGAAGGTCACTTCATCAGCTGGCTACGACCCCGCGGGTCCCTCTTTCATCATTGAGATTCCCCCGCATTTGACGGTCCACGCGATATTTCACACTTCAAAGCTGGCGGTCTACACTCCAGCCTCCACATCGGATTTCTCGGGCAGACGGTCACATGACCCTCCTTCAATGGTTGGTTATCAGGAGGTCGACCGCGTTCTCACACATCGCAAACATGGCAACAAGCCTATGTTGTACAAAGTTACATTTAAGCAATGCGATCCGGACGACACACGCTGGATTTCAAGAGCTGACCTGAAGGCGACAACACCCCTCATCTTCGCGCATTACGAAAAACAGCTGCCCAACCTGCCCGCCCCGTACGAACAACGGACAGACAGCTTCGCCCTTGTAGTTAGCTTGGTCTTCAAGGGGCGGAGTGTGTGGCATTCTGAGCCACACGGGCCGCAATTAGGGCTCGGTTCAGGGTAAGCCTAAGGGGGACGACGGTTCAGATAAGGCCCAGGTAGGCCAGGGGTAAGCCGGTTCAGGCAGGCCTGGGATAGAGGCCCAGGCCAACGGCCAAAAGACCGGTACCTGTCCTACATAGGACCTACCGGTGGCGCAGTTCCAGAGGCTGCCAATTTTATGTGCCAAGTCCAGTTCAAATTTGGATCGTTGATTTAGATTAATGGTCCGGGCCGGTAGGTACCAGCAGGTAGGAGGCCGGCCCAACACTACAAAAGATTGGGTACCAGCCTCAGTAGGGAGGTTAGAAGCTAGAAGTTAGTCTTCAGGATTAGTGCAGCGTTACAACGTTAGCAGCATTAGCGCAGCGCAAGCAGCGTTAGTCCGAGCAGCGAGAAGGAGGCAGCACGGCGGCGAGAAGGACAGCGCAGCGGCCCTGCCGCGCCATAGCACTGGATCAGGTACCGGGAAGAAGGCTCCGCCATCTCTACCTCTGTTCCTCCCCCCCACTGCTCTTCCTCTCTCTCTCTCTCCTTCTACCTTCTCAGTCTAAGTCTACTTTTGGGTGCTCCTACGGGACTTGTTGCATACTGTAATGGTGCAGACCAGAACAAGAACCGACCTCTCTCACAAAGTAAAAGATAGCGTAGCGGAAGACTTAGATACCAATGATCCGAATAATCAATATTGCAATGCAGCCCCGAACATACATCATCATCATCACTCCATGGTGTGAAGGGACCTGGTGCTCACACAGGAAGAATGCGCCAGTCCCCAACCATACACAAACGAAGAAGAGGGGAGTTTGACGAAGAAGAGGGGAAGAGGGGAAGATGGGAATGTCGTCAACACCAAGTCTTCGGAACAGGCCCAAATAGTCCCTCGTCAAATGTCTGAATCCCAATGGCGAGTCTGGATCCAATGTCGGCAAGTCTCAAGTCACAACTCTCTCTCTCTGTCGTAGTCCGTTGATACTGAGAAGTCAGGTAGTGAGAGTGTGAAGAAGAGATGAACTCTCTCTCTCTCTCTCTCTCTCTCTCTCTCTCTCTCTCTCTCTCTCTCTCTCTCTCTCTCTCTCTCTCTCTCTCTCTCTCTCTCTCTCT